AGCTCAGGAATTCTGGGATTTGAAGTCCACAAGTCATAAAAGAGCCCAGGGAACTACGGGTCATATTCCCCAAAGTGTTCAGACAAAGCCACCATCATCCTGGGGACAAGCAACCATTTCTGGGCTGGAAAGCGAGCTGGCAGCAGAGACCAGTCAATTGGGTGCTCACATGGTGTATAAAAACTGCAGGTACTGCAGTGCCCATCTGCCCAAAATTTAAAGGAGGTCCCACCAGTTATTCCCCTGGAGGAAAACCAGTGCATTGAGACTTTGACTCTCAGGAAGACCATGAGAATCGCTCATCTTGGGAAGAAGCTGAGATGCTGAAAGCCATTTGGGCGGGCACCAGCACCCAGCGTCGAAGGCAGAATTGGGAAATACACCTGGGCGGGGAGTGGGTTGAACAGACCAGCTCAAGAGGCAGAGGGCGAGCCCCAGGTGCATCCTTTCCCAAATGGGGGTTTACTAGAAGGAAGCCCGCCGGAAATAACACGTCGTGCGGTCGGACAGCCAGGAATGGACGCGGGATTTAATGTCGCAGCAGCGGAGCAAGGCCCCAAGACACGGAAAGGAATTATCTGTGCAAAAAACTAGCTTCCTTGCTAAAGAAGAAATTGACACTGAAAAGTCACAGCTGATGCTTAGCTCTTAGGACCGATGCTTCTGTTGGGGTCTCTAATAAGCTTTGGGGTTGTGTTTAGGAAAGCCAGAAAAGGGGGGGGGTATGTAGGATATATATACACCACATAAACATTCCGTAGGTACCAGGTGGACTCCCTCCCCACCTGTTTTAATTAAAGCAATTCCCTGCCAATCCCCTTTGCACTGCAAAGGGATTTCTGCAGGGGAGGGGGTGTAAAAGTGATTGTAAAAGTTCTGCCTTCCCTTGCACGTCTGATGCTCACGTCTTCCACTCTTCAAAGAGAAGGATGACCTCTGGTGAACGATTAGCCCAAAGGTCAGCTAAAGCTTACTTCTTCTTTTCCTTCTTTGATCGTCATTAGCCCAGTAATTCATTAGAAACTTTAATTGGGTCTCTGGTCTCTTTTCAATGCCGACTTGTCTCTCCCGCCCCCCCAAGTCCACTTCTCCCAGTCAGAGATGTATTCAAATTAAACAATCAATCGGAGTCAGACGAGAGCTGGGTGGGTCCTTGGAGGTCTTCTAGTCTAACCCCCTAGATCAGGGGTGTCAAACTGCCGGCCCGCAGGCCGGATGCATCATGGCGAAATCGTGCCCACCCCAATGGAAAAAAAGTCACAATACGTCACAACACTTCATGTGACGTTGCGAGCTTGACACCCCCGCCCTAGCCCATTCCAGAGGAGTGACTGTCCAGTCTCTTCTTTAAAAACTCCAGTGATGGAGCATCCACAACTTCTGATGGGAAGAAAGAAATTTAATTGTTCTAACTGTCAGGAAATTTCTTCTTAATTTGAGGTTGCTTCTCTCCTTGATGAGTTTCCATCCGTTGCTTCTTGTCCTGCCTTCAGGGGCTTTGGAGAAGAGCTTGACTCCCTCTTCTTTGGGGCAGCCCCTCAAATACTGCTATCTTCTCCCCCCTCGTCTTTCTTTTCTCTAGACTGGCCATTCCCAACTCCTGCAACCGTTCTTCATATGTTTTAGCCTCCAGGCCCTTAATCATCTTAGTTGCTTTTCTTTGCGCTTTTTCCAAAGTCTCAACATCTTTTTTTTTTTTTTTGGTAATGTGGTGACCAAAAATGGATGCAGTGTTCCAGGTGCAGCCTTGCTAAGGCTTTAAAAAGGGGTACTTAATACTGCTTTATAAACAGATTACATGGAGCTCGGAGTTTTTTTTTCTTAAAAAAAAAAAAAAAAAAACACCACGGCAGGGCAATGTGTCACAAAAGCTTGGAGACGTTTGTCTCTAAATTGCTCTTATATACCTTTTACGTATGAAATCTTAGCCCCATCCCTGTTCAAAGAGAAGCACTGAGGGGAAGGCAGGAATGAAACGTAAGGAATAACTGGTCATTTTGGTGAGATGTAAAGATAGTTATAATAGGGCGTAATATGACAGCTTCGGGTGAAAGGGGGGGGGAGAGAAAGGGAGTGTCAAAGGATCTCTTGGTAAGTATGGATTTTGCATCAGGTTTCCGTGGGCAATCAGTACAGCTTTTAGGTTCAGCTTTCCTCTGCTCCATTGCTTCCACGATAGAGCAGAAATCCCAAGGCGTTTATGATTAATTACTCCCCGTAGATCCACATAGTTCAAAGGAAAAAGAGAGAGAGAGAAAGAGAGAAAGAGAAAGAAAGTAAGAGAAAGAGAGAAATAAAGAGAGGAGAGAAAGAGAGAGAGAAAGAGAGAGAGAGAGAGAGACAGAGAAAGAACCCTGTATGTCAAGAAAGCAGATCTGAAAAGTGAAGAGTTTCAAAGGCTAATTTTTGTAATTTCACACACAAAGTGTTAAGCACAATAGCCTGGCTACAAGCCATACACACACAGAGAGAGAGAGAGAAAGAGGGGGGGGGGATCCAAAGTTTGCCCTCTACCTACCAATTACTATCCTTTAAACTATTAGTTCATCATTTCTCAAATTTATCTTGCCTTTGTTTATCCAGCAATTCCCGCTACAGATGTTAGCTTTACAACACCCAGGATCCAGAGCCAGCAGGGAGCTTGGAGATTTGGGCCTTATTGCAAATCCGGTAAGAGGGGAGGAACGCGAGCTCAAAAAAACTACCCTATGGTTGAGTTCCACCATGGCTGTTGCTCCACAAGCACAACCTTTGCCGAGAACACAATGCGAAGTTGGGCGATGTTGAGAGAGGTGTGGTGCCTCCACTACGCAACGCTTGAGTACGTGCTGGTCAGACTGCCGTGCCGGTTGTCACATTGGTTCTCAACCTGTGGGTCGGGACCCCATTTGGGGTCGAACGACCATTTCACGGGGGTCGCCATTTTTTTCCCCTTTTCTTTGGCCACGCCCCTGGCACCCGGTGATGTATAAGTGGTTGGGGGTCACCACAACATGGAGAAATGTATTATGGGGTCACGGCATTAGAAAGGCCGAGAACCACTGAAACTGGCAGATTTTCAGAATGGGAGCCATCTGGACAGTGAGGGAACTAGAAGCCCTATTTTTACTGAAGAACATTTGAAAGAACTGGGTATCTGTAGCCCGAAGAAAGGATTAGGGCAAGGGTCTTCCAACTTGGCCCTTTGATGACTTGTGGACTTTAACTCCCAGAATTCCTCAGCCAGCGTGCACGCTGGCTGAGGAATTCTGGGAGTTGAAGTCCACAGTCATCAAAGGGCCAAGTTGGAAGACCCTTGGGTTAGGGAGATGTTCTGGTCTTCAACCATCTCAAAAGTTGAGTTTAACTCTGGGTGGTACTTTCTCAGATGTTAGCTGGGGGTTCACATGACCTCAGGGCTTCCATGCCAACATTTGTGATTGATCACAACTATACAGGTGTAGGTAAGTGCAAATATACACCCTTTCACAAAGGAAACTAGCGTCAAAGAGCTCAGCTTGGCATGGGAATTTTCTTTCAAACCTGCTCAAACATTCTACATTGAGGGGGTTTAAAGAAAAAGAGAAATATTCAACGGCAGCAGCCCATACAGAAACTGCTTTATGCAACAGTATAGGTAAGATTCAGGATTTATTACGCCCGTGAAGATCTACTCTATAAAATCTAAACAAAACTCTTTAAGCTAACCATTTTTAAAACTTTAGATGGATCCTGGAAGCTTTGGAGTGCCACTTAAAAAAAAAAACCAAAAAGGCTATCGGTTTAACCTTAGGTGCACCAAAAATGTTGCAAAGCCATGGACTGAGCAACTATTCCAGTTGCTGGAAAGGACACTGAATTTTATCCAGATGTAGATCTTCTTTGCTTCAAAAAGAGCTCAGCCGTCAATCGCTTGCCCTTTCTGACTGTGAAAGGAGAGCGACCCCACATTTAACCCCAGCCTGCTGCTATCTTCCTTGCAGCCGGCCTTTTACCAAACGGCTTCGCTCTCTTCTGAAGATCCTGACCGTTTCATCTGGTCAGCCTACAGTGAATGATACCATGAATGACTCAGAAGCTACCAAAAGAAGCTCTTCCGTCTTCTAAGGAGCTGGCAGCTCAGAAGTTTGCAATACAAGCAGTTTTAATGTTTCACTGGCTTTCGCCCCGCTTGCCTAGGATCTGTAAAAGTTCCTAGGCTTTAAAATATTTCAGAGTTCAAGAGGACAGCGGAAAGGGGGGGGGGAGAGGAGAGCCAATGTGAATTCACAAGAGAAAAAAGCTGAAGAGGAAGGAAGGAAGGAAGGAAGGAAGGGGGAGGGAAGGAAGAAAAGTGAGAAGGAAGGAAGAAAGGAAGGAAGGAAGGAAGGAAGGAAAGGAGGAAGGAAGAAGGAGGGGGGAGGGAAGGTGAGAAGGAAGGAAGGAGGGGGAGGGAAGGAAGGAAAGAAGGAAGAAAGGAGGGGGAGGGAAGGAAGGGAGGGAGGGAGAAAAGTGAGAAGAAAAGAAGGGAGGGGGGAGGGAAGGAAGAAAGGAAGGAAGGAAGAAAGGGAAGAAGGAAGGAAGGAGGGGGAGGGAGGGAGGGAAGGAAGGAAGGGAGAAAGGAAGGGAGAAAAGTGAGAAGGAAGGAAGAAAGGAAGGAAGGAAGGAAGGAAGGAAGGGAGGAAGGAAGAAGGAGGGGGGAGGGAAGGTGAGAAGGAAGGAAGGAAGGAGAGGGAGGTAAGGAAGGAAAGAAGGAAGAAAGGAGGGGGAGGGAAGGAAGGGAGGGAGAAAAGTGAGAAGGAAGAAAAGAAGGGAGGGGGGAGGGAAGGAAGAAAGGAAGGAAGGAAGAAAGGAAAGAAGGAAGGAAGGAGGGGGAGGGAGGGAGGGAAGGAAGGAAGGGAGAAAGGAAGGGAGAAAAGTGAGAAGGAAGGAAGGAAGGAAGGAAGGAAGGAAGGAAGGAAGGAAGGAAGGAAGGAAGGAAGGAAGGAAGGAAGGAAGGACCCAGACTGAGAATTAACTTTACAGATTATAAACTGCAATACCTTTTTTCTTCAGAAATGTTCTTTTATTTGCAAGTGGGCTCTGGCGAACTCTAGAGTTTTCTAAAAACTTCACCGCTGTGGCAATCTGCAGGGCAGGCAAAAAGGTTGAGAAAAGAAAAAAAAAAAAAGGGAAATTGAAAATGGGGTTCATCGTAATTCAGATTCCAACACAACCAAGCTATCAAATACCTGGTTACCGGTGAATTAAGTACATCAGTAATTTAACTTTGAGGCAGATCCGTATCAAGGAGTTCAAAAAGGTTCCTTCTGATACGCTGCCTAGCAGAGGTGTTCCTTTCGAGATAAATCAAAAGGTGCAGCCTTTTTGAAGCTCGGAAAACATGAATATAAACAATCAAGGAAAGGGGTAATGAAGAAGTGAGGCGAAGCAACAAAACTTACCGCGTGTGCTCCTGTTGCAAAGAATAAGACATCAATTGTTGGCCACTCAAGATGTTAACCATCTAGAAATGGATATTTAACCATTCTAAAACGCTAAGATGTCCGTGGTTAGAATGTATTTCTTAAAACAAGAAAAAGGAAAGTAAGGGAGCCAAAGGCAGGAGCAAACGGAAAGACAACATTTGATCTCTTTTTCAGCCTCTTAAGGTTTCTATCATCTACACCACGATCTAACATTTCACAGGAGTTCTGCAAAAATGTCAACCTGGGGAATTGCTACAAAACAGAAAAAAACAACCCCCTTTTACTGATCTCTCAGAAGCCGCTTCTCTCAATCTGGTTTCCTTCGGGCACGCTGAATTAAACACCTATTATCCCAAATCACTCGGGATAAAAAAAAAACGGCCTAAAGTCGCTTTGTTCATTAGGATGCATTTGCTTTTTTTTTTTTTTTTTAAAGCCCAAAAGCAGCATGGAAAGTTATGTTTTAGCAGATGGCAGCTTTCAAAGCCCTTCTATCTTCCCGGAAGCCAACTGTGGATCGAGCGGGACCAGGGTTGCTTCTGATCACCAACCTGACTGCAGATGGGCCTTGACTGACTTCCAATTCTGGGTCCTGTCCTGCATAACCTTTCTGAGAAAGATGGTTTGGGAGACTTTGAGGTGGGGGAGAAAACTCAGCCCAGATGTTCTTGCCGTAACTCAAAGGAAAGTTGGCTTTGACCTGGTTTTTCCAGAGATGAATCTTAGGTCAAAGAGCAACGTTCTGATGGCTTTTAATGGCTCTTTTGATGTACTCCTTGTGCATTCCATCAATGTTGTGTGTGCGTGCACAGCACCCCCCCCAATCTTAAATGGCATCTCTTATTCCTTTAAATACATTAATCAGTCTTGTGCAGGCAAAACTGATCCATCGGACAATGCAATAAACATGAATTATCATCTATCCAACATGCATAATGGCTTAAAAAAACATAATAGCAGGTGTAGTTTAAATGATTAGCTATTACACCTGCGGTGCGTCTGATTCAATTGGGGGAAATCATCTTTAATAGGTTAAAAGGTTTAGATCACCCGGCTCCTGCCTTAAAGTGGCTGCAGAGAGGGTATGATGGAGTACGCTGTCATTACTAATTCATTTAAGAAAAGCATGGGGGGAATATAGCAAAGAACAGCATTATAAGAGCCAATCTAATTTAGACATCAGGTAAAGCAGAGGAACACCTTTTTAAAAAGCATGATAAATGAATTTGAGAGGGAGATGAAATTCATCTTTCTTTCTTTTTTTTTTTAAATTTTATTTTAACGGGAAATCTGACCGAGTCCCAGCCTACTTGGAATGGAAGAGAAAAAGAAGACGGGAGGAAGCGGGAAGACAGAAGCCCCGCTCTTTAAAAGTTTAGCGTTCCATCATTTCAAATCATAAAAATAATATGAATGCAACAGCCCACCTTCCCCACCACGACACGTAAAGCGCCGCTTTGATCTTGTTTATGCCCCCCTCGTTGATCTGCCTCGCTGGAAGTGCTAGCGATGGGGAAATTGCACATTTAAGCGGCCGCGGGCATTGCCGCACAAAAAGGCAGAAGGATAAACAGTACAAATTAATAACCTGCGGGGGAAAGAAGTGCTGAAGCAGAGAGATGTCTGAATAAGCAGATACGGAGATGTGCCAGCGTATCAAAAGCGACTTTGCTTCCGTATTAATCACCGGCTCCTCTTGGAACTTTTTTGATGGGCCTCGTTCTTTCGCCGCCAAAGAAAAAAGGCCGAGACCAAAATGCTGGCTCAGACTTGGCAGGAGGCAAACTTTCAATATATATATATATATATCTCCCCGTTTGTACGGCTTCATTAACTGAAGTTTAACAGTCCTTGGCTTGAGAGCCACAACATTTATGGACCATCAACCATTAGGGATCATCTAATAATGCCGGGCAGAGGTTCCCAACTTTTATGGGCCACTGGGGGAGTGTGTGGGGATGAGAAAGCCATTGTCCAGTTGGAAGCGGTCCTGACCTTCCTTCTTTAAGCACTCTTTCTTGTATTATAAGAGTGGGAACCAATGGATTAGAGTCCTGTTCTAGAAGTGTGTACTCCCTGCCTCATTTAGGAGAACTTAATCCTCGGAGTAGTGAAAACACCAGAGGTAAACTTTACAAATAAGACACCTGCAGAGATGGACAACCTTCCAGGTTTTCATCTTTATAAGAAACCATTATAAGAAACAAGGATCCCAGTATCTGGTCACTATCTCCAAGGCTCCTTCAAAGGAAGCTCTGACATCTTTTTCTGCTTTCAGAGGGTGCCATGGCATGCCTTGAAGGGAGATTTTGCCTATGTCCAGGTGGACCAGGGCTTTCGGGCTAAAATAACCTTAAGGCAGGGGTCCCCAATCCCTGGTCTGTGGACCGGTAGCGGCCCGCAGCATGCCAGCAACCGGGCCGCACAAACAAGCAAAGCCCCATCCCTGGGATGCAGGGCAGCACACAAAACCACGCACTCTCCAGTCCACGGAAAAACCTCTGTCCATGTAACCGGTTCCTGGTGGCCAAATGTGTGGGGACATGCCCAAATTCGCCATGTTCTTTCTGACGGGCAGGCCGAGAGCTCAGCTTTGGTTCCACACGCAGAAAAAATGGCAGAGCGGTTACAGTGCAGGGGAAAAAGCACAGCGCAAAAGATCTACTTCTCCCAATAAAGCCATTCTATCAAAAAATGAAATCGCTCCATTAACAAGAGCTAAATTATTTAAAATGCCTCCTCCATCATCTTTTTGCTAAAGGCCTATTGATTGAAAATGACATTACAAAATTATAGCTAAGAAAGAAGAGAGATTCTCCTGCTCCCGCTATCAGACAGGCAACATCTACAGAGAGAGAGAGAGAGAGAAAGAGAAAGAGAGAGAGGGAGAGAGAGAGAGAGACCCTTGGTTGCTGTATCTGCAACACACAAACACACCCATTATCTATATATCTTCAAATTCCTAGGGGCCATGAAAATATAGTGGGTCTGAGGGATTTTTGCCACGGTTATCTTAAAATCGTTACCGGCTATCCATGCTCTGGAAAAATCAGTACTCAAACATTATCGGACTCTGCTTCCGAGATCAAACCAATACACCCTCTGTTGTCTTCAGCTCAGGAATGAACCTTTTTGCTTGGTTGGTGCAATACGCTGAAACGTAAAATGGCCACACAGGCTGAATGTATTAAACTGTCTTAAACTTCCCAAACACAAAAGATTACAAGTATTCAGCCTTGGCCTGCTGCGGGAAAGAAGCGTCTAGATTGAAAGCTTCACGTGAATAAAACCTGTAGTCACAAACTTTGCTTTTCGCTCTCGAGAGCCCTGTAAAGCAGAGTCCATTGTGAGATGGAATGGCCCCCAAATCATTTAAGGATATTCCTGGAAAATTAAGTGTCCGTTCTTAATCCGAGACTATAGCCATTGCCTCCCATCTTTTGTTATCTGTGGATCTAATTCAGCTTCTTATAGAGAGCTGGAGTGAGAGAAACTGACTAGTGCTGTGGCCTGTAGTCTCTTTAACTCGGAATTTCCCACGTGATCAATTCTTGTATTTCACTAAACATTGTGGCACCGTCAAAGAATTACGTATTAAAACAGCTACTGTGAGATCCGATACGTTCAGAAATGAGCGTTTTCCATTTTTGCTGTATGGATTGAATTTACACGTCACCCATCTCACTATCCAAAGTGACTCTTAAAGAGCTCTAAAATACCAATTCATATTTTTAGGTGTTTTTTTTTTTTTGTTCTTAAATTGTAGATTGACATGGACTGGATGGATGAATTGACAGGTCTGCTGGGATTTAGTCAGAAGAAGCGAAACCCACTTTGTAAATGTTCTTGGCCTTATGATGAAGAGAGAGGAACTACCCACCTGTTATTTTTTTTCGGAGAGGGAGGTGAGAAAATGCAGTGTTTTAAGCCAGGCAAGGAAAAAAAAAAGGGGGGGGGGAAATCCCTACTCTTGTCAAGACTAGCTTGACATATATGGTCATCAGTGGCACAAGGAAATAGTTGCAAAGCAGCTGTTAATCAGGGTAACACATTGAGGAACGCTGATGCCAGCAGTCGTGGAAAAATGCAAGAGGCTAATTATGAAACAATATATCTTGCTAAAGAGGCATCGTGCCTCTAAGATTCCAGATACGGCTTTCTCAGAATAAAAATCCTGGGTTGGCTGGATTGGCAGCCACCGACAGACACTGCCAACTTTCAGATCCATCAACCAGGGGGATCTCTTTTGATTAGACATTTGAGGAGGTAGGTAATTCCCCCCCCCCCCATGTTTATTTGCAACTAAGACTAGAGCAGGGAAAACGAGAATTATTTCATCCTAAACCCCACCAGCTCCGAATATAAAACGTATTTTTTTTAAATGGGTTGGAAATTGCTGTATAAAAAGAAAAGAACAGAAAAACAGTGCAGGTGTGATTAAAAACGCTGCCTGAGATGTTAAGTCTAGTGGCTTCCATGCCACAAAGCATCCAGGTGTTCTCCTTGGCAATACAGAAGTCACACTACTTGTTCTCTCTCTTTTTTTTTTTCCAACTGAGGGAAAAGAGGCTTAGATGATAGGATGGATTCAGAGTATTAAAACATCAAAATTAAACTTGTCAGGAAGGAAGCCAGGGTGAACGACCAGAATGGAGCCTG